ATCGGGCAGTGTTTCGTTCTGCTGTGCATAATAAGATCACTATGGGTTGGTACAGACTCGATGGCACCTAACAGCAACAATTATACAGACTTTGATCTCGTTTTCCTAATTGAAAATGAAACTTTTAAGTGATAGCGTGTAGCTAAAATAATAGTAAACCAGTAAAGTGATAGTGTTGAAGGCAGGCAAGACTTACTTGAATAAGTGGATTAGCTAAAAATTAACAACATTGCTATATCTTTGACAGTTCAGAGTTTAGAGTAAGAATAAGCTGACTTTTTTGTGTTTAGATCAAACAAGAAGTACATTAAATTTCACAACAAAGATGATAAAGTACAGGTTTTCCTATATGCTTAGAAGTTTTCGCTTGATCTACGTTACTTGCCTGATATTGGCGTGTGCTGCTATAATGCTGAACTGATTTCAGCAGAACTTTCAGACTAAGAAAGGAGTGCTGATCTACTTCCTAAAATCAACCAGTGTAAACTCTATGGATCTTAGTAGTCCTGCAACTGATTGAGGTGATGCTGCAGGATCTGGACAATGTTTTCATTCCGTTGTTGTGCTTTATCTCACAGTGCCACTCCAGTACTCCCACAATATTACAAACAGACATATGGGTGGTGAACCTAAGAATGTTGTTGTCAGGTGCCCTTGAGTTGGTACTGACTCAGTAGTGGCCCTGTGCACAACAGAACAAAACACTGCCTAGTTCTGTGCTAACCTCACAATTGTTGCTATGTTTGAGCCCATTGCTGAGGCCCCTGTGTTAATCCATCTCATTGAGAGTCTTCCTCTTTTTCTCTGACCCTCCACTTTACCAAACAGGATTCTGGGCTGAGTTTCTCCTGGAAGTCACGGAGAAATGATCCTCTCAAATCACAAAAGTCCTACTTGGCAGTCTCTAAGGAACAGTGGAGGCACGAGAGCCCAAAGGGGTATATTGAAACTCACTTAGTGGTTCATTTGAAACTGCATCGTTTCACTTTGTACTAATCTTTATGGTTCCAGCTGCCACTTGTGTAAGGACTAAAAATGACACTGGGCCATTTTGGTCTCAGGGATTCTGAAAATGGGTTGCTGTGGGTAGAGTGGAGATATATTTCTGCCCCCTGGAAGTTGAAGGCACATTGCTATGTTAGCACTTCTTTTTCCTTGTGCCTTATTAAATCCTTATCTTTAGTGGTTTTAAGATAGTATACAGTCTTTGGGTGGGGCTGAGAGGCATTGTCCAGGGACTCTAGTAACACACTTACCTCAAGAGAGTTTTCTCTGTCCAGATATCCCAGAGCCTTTACAGGTCCCCCCAACCTCTGCCAGGCTGGGCCTAAGAGCCACAGTAGGGTCCAAGATTAGGCCTTTACTCCCGAACATCTCAAAGCACAGTTTTAAAACTTTTGGATGCCATTATAACTAAGCAACACATATTTATTACATGCCAGTTGCCTGACAAGGTTGGTAGTTCCTTGGAAGGAACAAGGTTGGATAGTAGCAGCCGTTCCTTGGAAATCCTAAAAGGGTCGCTATGAGTCGGAACAGATTTGAAAGCATTTAACAACAGTTGCCTCAGAACTCATTCTTCCTTCTGTCTTGTGGATTCTCTTTGTCTAGAAAGAGAAGGCCGGTTGAACACGAACTAGACAAGACAGTCAGTGGCAGTGGTACATGAACTGTGTGGACTATTCATGGGTGAGGTGGTATGGGAGACATCCCCCCCAAAGTGTATTCTGATCTGGTTCCTGAAGGATGAGTGGGTTTCAGACCAGAGATTTCAACCCTGGTAAAGCAATTGATTCAGCAGGCAATTGCTTTCTCTAAGTCAATCTGGTCCACTAGGTCCAGGTGGGGCCTAGGCATCTGTAGTTTTAAATCCATCCCCCCAGGTAATTCTAACATGCAGCCAGACTTTATGTTGTTGTTGACTGCTATTGAGTTGGCCCCAGACTTGTAGCTACCCCATGTACAACAGAACAAAACTTCTGCCTGGTCCTGTGGCATCCATCCTTATGATCTGTTATGGATTGGGCTATAGTAGTCCATAGGGTTTTCATTGGCTGTTTTTCGGGAGATTGGCAGGCCTTTCTTCCTCATTTGTCTTACTTTAGAATCTCCACTGAAACCTGTTCAGCGTCATAGCATACAAGCCTTCACTGACAGACAAGTGTGGCTGCACATGAGGCGCAATGGCTGCATGGAAGGTGAAAATTCCTTCATGGAACTACCAAAGCTTCTTGCAAACAAGGTTGGCAATCTCTAAGGCATAAAGCGTAGTCTTTTTTTTTTTTTTTTAATTATGAATTGAGTGATAGTTTACATGGGAGAACATCAGTTTTACACTCGTTTCATTGCAATGATTACAATCCCTTCCGTGTATCATCATTCAACAGTATTTGCTTCTATTCCCTATTCCCTCTGTGGTTTTTTGTTTTGTTTTGGGGACAAAAACACCCAGGAAATATATAATCATTTTTAAAGTGTAGTGTTAACATAGGCTGACAGCTTCCTTTTATGATGGCAGTCATCAGTAATGATGGGAGAGAAAGTAAACAGGATGTTGGTCTGGGAGTGAGCCTCATAAAGTACCAGCTGATGCTTGGTGGGAAAGGGACTCTGAATAAGGGCTGAGTAATACCAGTATTTTTTTGTTTTGTTTTGTTTTTTAGTTCCTAATATTTGTTCTGGTGTACCACTGTGGGATAAAGCACTGGACTGCAAGGTCAGTTTGAACCACAAGCTCACTGGTTCAAACTCACCAGCTGCTCCTTGGAAGCCCTATACAAAGTCGCTCTGAGTTGGAACTGACTCGATGATACTTAACAATAATGGTATTTGTTCAGCAAGTGCTTCATATATATTATCTCTAGTTTTTGCAGCAATCTTGGGAGCTAGATTGATGGCATATTTTTCAGATGAAAACATTGTAGCTGGAAGTTTCAGCAGTGTGCTTCAGGTTGTAGAGCCTTTAAGTGGCATATCTAGGATTGGAATCCCAGTGTGTCAGATGCAGAACCACATAACACCGCTTCTCATGGCCCCCATGTTGTTGTTAGTTGCTGTGGAATTGGCTCCCGCTCAAGGCCACAATATGAATAACAGAGCAAACCTGGTTCTGTGTCATCCTCAGGGTCCTTGGTGTGTTTGCGTCCGTCCATTGTTGTGACTGCTGTGTTAATTATTGTCATTAAGCGTTACACTCAATTTTGCTGACTCTACCAAACAGAATTTTTTTTCTAGCAATTGTTTTTTTCCAGATGACCTGTCTAAAGTAAGTGAACTCAAGTGTCTCTCCATCCTGGTCTCCCTGGAGGGATTATTTTATGTTGCCGTGGGAAGTCAGAGGAGCAGGAGCGTCCTGGGCCCTTTAGGGGCCAGTGGAGGCTGAGAGGAGGTGCCCCCATGGCAGCCAGGCCTGATCAAAACCTGGAGCTCCACACTGTGATGCTGGGAGCTAGTGGACCAGAGCTTTGCAGTCACTCAGCAGGAATCAGTCTTGCCTAATCTCTTTGAACCCCATGTGGTGGGGATGCCTGCCTTGAAAGGCTGTTGGGATTAAGTGTTGGTGCTCAATAAACCATAATCTTTGTAATAATTTTCTTTGACTTTGTACTCTGCCTCACTATCTTCCTCCATAAGCTTCTTTCCTAATGTCTCATTTCCCTTCCTAGGATCTTAAAGGCAGAATCTGAGTAATATCAGTAGCCTCTTCGCTTTCTCTTGGTGCGTCCAATCTGAATGCATCTTTTATGCTCCAACCCCCAGTACACACCCAACTAAGTCCCCATTCCTCAGGCAGCACTCAAAACCTGCTCCAAATATGCTGACAAGAATCTCTCTAATCTTTACTCTTGCCACTGTCTTCTGGAATCTACCTTTCTTTCAGACTGTTGACCTGTCCCATTATGGATAAACACTGAGTATTCTTGCCCTCCTTTGGAATGCCTTTCTCTAACTATAAAAATGCCACCTATTCTTCTTGAAAGCTTTTTGCATTTCCCCAGTTTAGAGCCCTCAGAGCATTTTCTTGCCCTTTCCTTGTTCCTTACCTGTTTGTACCTGTACATTTGTCCCAGTAGAGTGTGAACCCCTGAGGTCAGCTTCCTGCTACTTTCATTTCTATATTCCTGACTCACAGAAAGAAAAACAACCAGTTGCTTTCAAGTCAATTTTGACTAATAGTGATCCCTTAGAACTGTGTTCCATATGGGTTTCAGCCGCTGATTTTTTGGAATTCGATGACCAGACCTTTCTTTTGTCTCTGGGTGGGTTTGAACCTTCAACCTCTTGGTTAGCAGTTGAGAGTGGTAGCCATTTGTACCATCCAGGGACTCCTAACAGGTACTCAAAAATGTTTGCTGCAATGAAGTGATTGTTTCACAAACGCCTTCTGTTTTTTAGACTATGAAGCAAAGCCCTTGGAGCTCATGCAATAAGAAGGTGGTGGGAAAGTGTAAACTGTGGATGGTCATTGCCTCCATTTTCATTGGCCTCATTTTAGTCATCATCATAAGCTTATGTCTTATTGGAGGTAAGAGGGTTTAAACATTTTTAAGAACTTTAAAGCTTATGACTTACATGGAAATAGACGGATTTATTGCTGTTTCATTATTTATGACATAATTTGAAACTTGTTTGGAATATGGTGTATGCCGGAGAGATAAAAAGGATTCTTTGTTTTTATTGTTATAGTTTGTTTGTTTTATACCCCCTGTTGGATTTTGGAATAGAGGTTTCGTAAAAACCCTGAATGAGTTTCTTAAAATTTTAACATACTTCACTAATTTATATTTTATTATATTTCTATATTTCCTTGCTTGAGATTCGTTTCCTTCAAAAACTTTAAAAATCAAAATAATGGCTGTACTTGATCTGGTATTCCTGATATATTAATACAATGACAAAATGAAGACTAATGGATTACAAAGAATTTTCCAAAACTTTATAGAAATGTGAGTGTAGCCTACCATAATTTTAACTTTTAGAAATAATGGTTGTTTGTTACATTTGTGTTGTATGTGTATATGAATATGGTGCTAAAGGAGTCCTGGTGACTTGGTGGTTAAGCATGCAGCTACTAAATGAAAGATAGGGCTTCTGGGAAGATTTATAGCCTCAGAAGCTAGGGCAAAGTTCTTCTCTGACCTCTAGGTTGCTATGAGCTGGAATGAGCTTAATAGCACTGGCTTAGTTTTGGAGGTATTGGTAGTTAAAGTCTCTTGTGCCATAATTTGCTTAACTGTTCTCTTTTTTCTCATTAAAAATTTAAAATATATTTGATTGGGGAATTTTATACATATTTAATATTTTCTTTATTTACTTTGTAGTTTGTTAAAAAAAAAAAAAAAAGAAACACATTTTTTTCACCCAGATCAGGTTGTTGTTGTTAAGTGTCATCCAGTTGATTCTGACTCATAGCAACACTGTATAGGGTTTCTGAGGAGGAGTTGGTGGTTTTGAACTACTGACCTTGTGGTTAGCAGTCTGGTGTTTATCCTACAGCACCACACCAGGACTCTAGGATTCCTATTGTTGTTTTTATGTGCCGTCGAGTGGGTTCTGATACATAGTGATCCCATATAGTGTTGACGAGGAGTGAGTTTGAATCACCAACCTTGCAGTTCAAACGGACCTTGCTGTCGAGTACTTATTCTACAGCACCACACCAGGACTCCAGGATTCCTATGTTGTTGTTGTTGTTGTTAGGTGCCATCAAGTCGGTACCATCTCATAGCGACCCTCTGCACAACAGAACGAAACACTACCCCGTCCTTGACAACCTCACAATTATTGCTACATTTGAGCCTATTGCTTCCACCACTGTGTCAGTCCATCTCATTAAGAGTATTCCTCTTGTTTTCCAATGCTCTGCTTTACCAAACAGTGACCTGTCCCTCCTGATAATATGTCCAAACTATGAGAGACCAGTCCGACCATCCTGGCTTTCAAGGAACTCTCTGGCTGCACTTTTTCCAACACGCATCTGTTGGTTCTTTTGGCAGTTAAAAGTACTTTCAGTATTCTCCTCCAACACCATAATTCAAATGCATCAATTCTTGTACAGTCTTCCTTATTCACTGTCCAGCTTTCACATGCATATGAGGCTATTGAAAATACCATGGCTTTTGTCAGGTGTACTTTAGTCCTTAAACTGACGTCTTTGCTCTTCAACACTTTAAAGAGGTCTTGTGCAGCAGCTGTGCTTAATGCAGTACATCGTTTGATTTCCTGACTGCTGCTGCCATGAGTGTGTTGTTGTTCGGTTTGAGCAAAATGAAATCTTTGATACCTTCAATCTTTTTTCCATTTGTAAGGATGGTGTTTATTGATCCAGTGGCGAGTACTTCTGTTTTCTTTACATTAAGATACAATTTATACCTTAGGTTATGGTCTTTGATCTTCATCAGTAAGTATTTTAAGTCTTCTTTGCTTTCATCAAGCAAGGTTGTATCATCTGCATATCACAGAATATTAGTGAGTTTCCTTTAATCCTAATGTCATATTTTTTTTCACATAATCCAGCTTCTCAGATTATTTGCTCGGCATACAGATTGAGTAAGTATTGTGAAAGAATACAACCCTGGTGCACATCTTTCCTAATTTTAAGCCTTTTGGTGTTCCCTTCCTGTGTTCGAACAACTGCTTCTTAGTCTATGTACAGGTTTTCCATAAGCACAATTAAGTGTTCCAGAATCCTCATAGTTTGCAATGTTGTCCATAACTTGTCATGATTGACACAATCGAAAAACTTTGCATAGTCAAGAAAGGACAGATAATCATCTTTCTGGTATTAATCTGCTTTCAGCCAAGATCCATCTGTTGTGAACAGTGATATCCCTTATTCCACAGCCTCTTCTGAATTTGGCTTGAACCTCTGGAAATTCTCTGTCCATGTATGGTTGAGCTGTTTTTATATTACCTTTAGTAAAACTTTATTCACATAGTATATCAATGACATTGTCCGATGATTTCTGCATTCCATTGCGTCACCTCTCTTAGGGCCATTCCAAAGAGAGGTGACCCAATGGAATGCAGAAATCACAAATAGGATCTCTTCTAGTCAGTTAGCCAGGTAGTTACTTGTCTTCCAAATTTCATGGCATAGATGAGTGAGTGCCTTCAGTGCTGTATTAGTTTGTTGAAAGAATTCAGTTTGTATTCCATCAATTCCCAGTGCCTTGCTCTTTGCCAGTGACTTCAGTGTACTCTGGACTTCTTCCTTCAGAACCATTGGCTCTTGATCATATGCTACCTCTTGATATGGTTGAACATTGACCATTTCTTTTTGGTACAGTGACTGTGTATTTCTTCCATCTTCTTTTCTGCATCATTCAATATTTTGCCCATAGAATCCTTCAATACCACAAGTTTAGGTTCGAATTTTTTCTTTGGTTTGCTCAGCTTGAGAAATGCTGATTGTGCGATTCCCTTTTGGTTTGCCAACTCCAGGTCTTTGCACATTTCTTTATAATATTTGACCTTGTCATCTTGAGCTGACCTTTGAAATTTTCTGTTCAGCTCTTTTACCTCCTCACTTCTTCCATTTGCTTAAGCATCTCTACACCAAAGAGCAAATTTCAGAGTCTCTTCTGACATCAATTTTGGTCTATTCCCTTCTCTCGTCTTCTTAAGGATCTTATGCTTTCCTTCTGTGTTCTTGATGTCATCCCACAACTCTTCTGGTCTTCAGTCATTAGTGTCTAATGCATCAAATCTGTTATTCAGATGATGTCTAAATTAAGGTGGGATATAGTCAAGGTTATATTTGGCACCTGTTGACTTGTTTTTATTTTCTTCACCTTCAGCCTGAATTTGCACATGAGCAATTGATAGTCTGTTCCATAGTCTGCCTCTGGCCTTGTTTTGGATGATGATATGAAGTGTCTCCACTGTTTCTATCCACAGATATAATCAATTTGATTTCTGTGTATTCCATATGCTGAGGTCCATGTGTATAGTTGTCTTTTATGTTGTTTAAAAAAGCTATTTGCAATGAAGAAGTCAATGGTCTTGCAAAATTCTATCATGTAATCTCTAGCATCATTTCTATCACCAAGGCCATATTTTTCAACTACTGATCCTTCCTCTTTGTTTTCAACCTTTATATCCTAATCGCCAGTAATTATGAATTTATCTTGATTGCATGTTTGATCACTTTCAGATCGAAGAAGTTGCTAGGATTCTTTAGGTTCATCATCACTGGCTTTAGTAGTTGGTGTATAATTTGAATCAAAGTGGTAATAACTAGTCTTCCTTGTAGGCTTATGGATATTATCCTATCACAGACAGTGTTGTATTTTGACTGATCTTGATATGTTCTTTTTGATGATGAATGTGACACCATTTCACTTTAATTTGCCATTCACGGCATAATAAACCATGTGACTGTCAAATTCAAAATGTCCAATATCAGTCCATTTCAGCTCACCAATGCTTTGGATATCGATGTGTACGAATTCCATTTCATTTTTGACAATTTCCGATTTTCCTAGATTCATACTTTGTACATTCCATGTTTGATTATTAATGCATGCTTACAGCTTTTTCTCTTCAGTTTGAGTTGTTTCCTATCAGCAAATGAAGGTCCTGAGTGCTTTATTCCATTTGCGTCATCATGGTCAAGTCTACTTTGAGGAAGCAGCTCTTCCCTAGTTGTAATTTGAGCACCTTCCAACCTGAGGAGCTCATCTTCTGGTGCTATATCTGGCAATATTCTGGTGCTCTTCACCATGTTTCAATATTCAATAATTTGGTGCTGACAGTGTTCCACTGCTGTTCATAAGGTTTTCAGTGACTAAATATTTGGAAGTAGTCAGTCTCTCCTTCCTAGTCTTGTCTTTTTCTTGAAGGTCAGCTGAAACCTGTCCACTATGGGTGGCCCTGCTGGCATTTAAAATAACTGTGGCATAGCTTCCAGAATCACAGCAACACATGAGCTACCACAATATGACAAACTGACAGAAGAGTGGTGGCAGGATTCCTATATTGCTGTTGTTTAGTGCCATTAAGTCGATTCCGACCCATATAGGGTTCCTATAGATGCTCCAAAATTTGCTCCAGTGTAACCCAATGAGCAGAGCAAAATTTATCATTTTCTCTTTGTGATGAGGCATGAAGTACCTGGGAAGTCTTGTAATCATTCTCTTTTGAAATACATTTTAGATGGTTATCATTATATTTTTAAACAATGTTGACATAATTAAGGCTTTAGCTGTTGTTGTTATTGTTTCAGTTATGGTTTTAAACAAAAATTTAATCTGTCAGATATGGAGGTTAAAAATCTGAAATCAAGATTTCAGCACGGCATGCTTCCTTTAAAGGTTCTAGGGAAGAATCCTTCCTTGCCTATTCCTAGCTTCTGTGGTTGCCAGAAATTCTTGGCACTCCTCAGCTTGAAGCTGTATTCCTGCAGTCTTTGCCTTCTTCACTGTGTGTATCATTATTAAATGGTGTGTGGTGAATATATACAGAACACTCCAGTGGGCAATCATTTGGATTTCAAAATACAAAAAAGGAAAGTTGTATTTGCAT